ATCTTTATTTCCTGATTTTTCAACTTCAGCTGCCGAACGAGGCGCAGCTGCAGTTAAAAAAACAAGAAAAGAGGGCTGTTTCAAAGGCTGCTTCTCGGCACGCAGCATGCTGATGATGATTTACAGGCGTGCGGCTCACAGCGGTCAGGGAAGCTCGTAAATCCTGAACCAGTAGTTAACCCTGTTATATCCCACCTCGGATATGTCCTTTTGGAAAGAAGAAAACTGATATAATTTATGCTTGGAGGGATTTATCCCCTTTATAAGGTGAGTTTTAAAAAAGCAAAAGAAAGCATATTTGAGCCACAGTGGTGCAGTGGTTATAGTGCAGTACTGCAGGCTACTTCTGCTGACTGCTGGTTGCCTCCAATTTGGCAGTTCGAATCTCACCAGGCTCAAGGTTGACTCAGACTTCCATCCTTCCAAGGTGGGTCAGATGAGGACCCAGATTGTTGGGGGCAATAGGCTGACTCTGTAAACTGCTTAGAGAGGGCTGTAAAACATTATGAAGTGGTATATAAGTTTAAATGCTATTGCTATTAGGAGCCCTGGTGGTGCAGTAGTTAGAATGCAGTATTGCAGACTGACTCTGCTCACTGTCAGGAGTTCAATCCTGACCAGCTCAAGGTTGACTCAGCCTTCCATCCTTCCGAGGTGGGTAAAATGAGGGCCCAGATTGTTTGGGGCAATAGGCTGATTCTGTAAACCACTTAGAGAGGGCTGTAAAGCACTGTAAAGCGGTATATAATTCTAAGTGCTATTGGTATTTCACCCTTTACTGTGATCATGGATCCATATTCACATAAGCACACACAAGCACACAAGCAAGCACAATCAGAGTTATGGTAGATACCATACTTAAAACAAAACAAAATAAAAGTCTTGGTGGGCTGATGAAACACCATCTAACCCATAAAAATCTGTGAAGGTTTATCAATATTGATTAGTTCCAGATTAATTTGTTAAAGTCTTAACTGTGCTTGAATTAGCAGTGAGTGATTGTGTCAGAGGCTACAGGATTAATGTGTACTTCACAATTTATACAAATCTGAATTTAAATACTCCAATGTCTCATCTAAAAAAAATATATCATGGAATTAGGAATAGCTACACAATTAGATAGCTGGTGGATTTATGAATTAAATACCATCAGAAGGTTTAAAAAACCCCCACAAATCTTGTATTTTTTTCTTTTTTTACACATTAAGCAAAATGTGTTCTGGATTGATTAACAGTGGGAACAACAATATATAAAGCTACTTATACCTGCTGGGTACATAATGAAGTTTTTTTTTTTAGCATTCATTGAGATCTTTGACAATGGGAATTTCTATAAATTTACAAGCAGTTTTATATTACAGTAATTGTACATACAAATATTTTTGTTCACAAATTACAGCTTTTAAGTAACATTTAAAAATGAAACAACCTGGTATCCCCTTCAAATGTGTTGGTTTGTGTTTGCTTGTTTATTCTGAGCACCATCAATATTGCTTCCTTTTCCCATCACACTGATTGTCTTTATATGGTTAAAAATTGGAGTTGGGAAAAGTACCTGATTGTGTTAAAGAAACAGGTTATTTGGTTGTAGGAAAAAAAAAAACCAGATTTCATGAATCAAAAGCTAAGGAGAAAATGAAAGAAGGCTAGGAGAATTTAATGGAGGAACTAATGCATCTTGATACAGGTATAGAATTTGCTAAGTATTTACTACAATAGATATGGAATGGAATGGTATGAAGAGATGGATCATGATATCTTTAATCCATCCTGGGACATCACCTTGAATCGACACAGACTAATTTAATATGAGGTGCTTCATAATTACATCAATAAAGAAGAATATTTGTAGCTTGGGTTGAAATGAGGGGTCAGTGGTACTCCCTGAGCTTGGTTGTTTTCCTGAAGACATTCATTACCCATACTAGGTAACATCATCAGTGCTAATAAGGAGTGGGTTTGCTCTCAGTTTATATTCTAGAGTCACTAGATTATCAATTGAGAGGAAACCTACTCTTTATTAGCACTAATGATGTTACCTAGTTTGGGTAATGAATGTCTTCAGAAAAACAACCAAGCTCAGAGACCGCCAAGGACTCCTCATAATTATATCAACTGAACGTGTATTTCCCAGTTCTCCGATTCTTTAAATTGATGTTGGCAATTTGCTTCTGTATCTACTTCAGCAACTAAAAAAAGTTTCTTTATCTAAATAGTTTAGTGAGTAATGTATGGATTTATAAAGTCGAACCTACTGGAATGGGCAATTTATCTTAACCTCACCCGTGTTACTTTATTGAGAACTGTAGTTTACCACCCAAGTGCAATATACTATTTCGTTTGAGTGATAAGAAACACTGTTCTAGTTGCTGACAAGAATTATTCATTGCAAATCAATTTTACGAGGAGCATTAATCCTATTTGGGCATTCTTCACAAGATTTATTGATTTAATTTCTCCCGCCAACAAGGGGCTCTGATGAAAGAAAGAATGGGTGTGTGTGTCTCCACTGTCACCAATGTCTTCCACAAGTAGTTGTGAATTCTTTTTTCTTTGGGGAAAATCTCAATATAATTTAAAAATAAATTTATAAAATTAGACTTCTAGCTCACATAGGAAGTCACCTCAAAGGCAGAAATTTCCTTGGGCCCAACCTGAAGGCACAGAAATGGATCTAATTTCTGCTCATCTTTGTTAAGTGTAGATCGAAACAGAACCTGCACAATAATGACACCAGTTAGAAAAAAGATTTTTTAGAATAGAATAGAGTAGAGTAGAGTAGAGTAGAGTAGAGTAGAGTAGAGTAGAGTAGAGTAGAGTAGAGTAGAATAGAATAGAATAGAATA